ACAGTGCTGTGGGGACAAACACGTTTGGTCTCATCTGAGCTATTCACTGTAATTAACTGGTCGGCGGTTTCATCAAAAAGCTGTTACAGTTCTGGACCTGGATCCGTAGATCACTAATTACAATCAATCATCTAAGAGCTCGGTCCGGCTTCGGGGGGTGGCTCAAGTTTTGTCGCGGTAAGATCAGGCGTCATCACGCCTCACCGCATCACATTTTATATTTTATTTGAATCACGTTACATTTGAGATCATCACTGGATTTTTATTTTTATTTTTTGCCCTTTTTTTCCTTTTTGTGATATTAATATAGCACTTTTACGCAAAACCCGCTGCCCACGTGGCAGCGCGGGTGGCTCCTTCAGGACAGCACGGGCCACCGGGTGACTCTACCTTCTCGCCTTCCTGGCACTGTGTGTTGTACAGTCTCTGCACCGTAAATGCACACGTTCGTATACTCAGGTCTCAATTATGCCCAAGTTGAGGTCAAAAGGAAAATCACACTGGCTGCAGGATCAGGCCTTTAATTGTAACCACACTGTGTTTGTACAATATTAGGCCTCGTGATGCCGTGAAGAATGAATGAGTTTTGGGGTGGGATCTGAAGTAAGATCACGGGCCTGCTACTTTGGCATAAAAAAAAATTCCATTGAATTGATGAACTTTGAGCTTTGGAGCTCTGAGTGACAGAAGTCCTGGCAATTTTTATTTTGCCAGAAACGAGGAAGGCGTGGCAACAGACAGGTTGGGTTGACACAATAGGGCTTTCTCTGTCTTTTGGTAGGATTGTCAAATATGGACATGGTACCTAAGAAAAGACAGCATGAAATGGAGGAGAAGAAAAACCATAAAATGGAGGAGAGGACAAAGTTCGGAGCTGTGAATTACAAAGTTAAAGAGGCCAAGGCTGTAAAAAAGGATAGTCACCCCCAAAAATTTAGAAATGTACATGTATAGCGTGATCGCACGTTACAGAGATTTGTTCTTCCAACACCCACTTCTTGTTTATAGCATATTGAAATCTACAAATGTGAATCTAGCTTAAAAGGCAAAACAACTGCTAAAGATTCATTGCAGTACATGTAAGTTTAACTAGCTTTCATCACAAAATTTCTATTTTCAATTCCTCTACCCAGCTTCTGAGCCTGACCTTTTTGCTTTCTCTTTTTCCCTCCAAAAAGGATGTGAGATGGATTCAGACGGTCAGATTGCTGTAGGATTTTACTACTTGTGGATAGTGTATACACATTTTAGAATTGCTCATTACAATTTCCAAGAGGAAGCTAAACTATATATTGAATAAAGAAATTATAAAGGAAAAGCATTAATTCCTTAATATTAATTAGTCAGGGAAAAAAACTACCTCAGTGTGTTCAGGCAAGTATTTTTTACAGCTTGCGCTTGGTTAGTCTAAACAAAATGATGCAACTGTTCAAAATGAAGGGAAATGTCCAGAGGACTAATTCATAAAATTTGAGGGTTGGCATAAGCATTTCTGAAAAGTCTCAGATTAGCATTTTTTTTTCTTGTGTATTGCTCTTCACAGACTTAAAAGATGGTAATTTAAAATTATATTCTAGTGTCACTTTTCTGCAAAATTATTACTGAATTCCAAGAGCTTCACCCACACTAATGGAATGCCCCTAGAACTTTTCTTTTAAGTCAGTATCAAATCTTCTTTATTGTAATATATATTTTACTGAATAAAATGTTTTAAGCAGATAAGAACAGTAAAGAATAAGTAATTACTTTCTACAAAAAATATTTCTTGCCTCATTCATATCTGAAGAAAAAAGGTGATACGCATGTATCAGTCACTGACATGATCATAGCATCAAAGAAACGGAGTCTGTGTACCCCAAAAGGCCCAGGAAAATTTCTCTCATGTCACAGACACAAAAGTGCAATACAGTAAATAAAATACTGCCTTGAACCAAGCCATTATGTGGATTATTTGTGTGGTATGATTCCTGTAAACAGTCCTCATACCTGGTGAACGTGCAGTTCTTGCCACATATTTTAAAAAATATTTTATACTTCCAGAATGGTATGTATTAATGTCAATAAAGGCATTGTTTGGCTACAGACAAGGACTATTCAGTAAAACATACTTTGTTTGCTCACAAATAATTCTGATTAACAGTCAAAGAAATTAGCTTTTTTATTAACTACGTGAAAGCACTGGATTTATTTCAGTAGGGTATAACCTATAGTGGCTGAATACATTTTTTTTTATCAGGTATTTAATATTTTTTATTCTAAGTTTAACCTAAAAAGCGTTTTTGCTACTAGGTAGGTTTTTTTTGGAATTAAGTGACATTAATTTATTAAAAAAGAAGAAGGACTTCCCTATTTACCTTTTGATTAGCTTTATTCTGACTTGGTTTTAGCTTCAATTTGTCAAAACTTAAGCTCTTCTAATTTTCCCTCCATATGTGACAAGAGCCACATATTCTTAGGCTGTCAGAAAAAAAACAAACCACAACCAAAACTTTGAGCTTTCACATTTAAATTATACACTTTTAAGCTACTAATATTTCAGTCCTTAATTAAGGAAGGAATAGAGGCAACCAGAGAAGTACCACTTGTTTAAAACATCACGGCTTCTCTGATTTCTAACAATAGGGAAAATTTTACCTATTATAAAAGTTCCATTTTCCCCTTTTTTGACTACAACATGTATCAGATCAAAACTCTAAAAAAAATATTTGAATTTATATTTTATTATTTCTTGTCAAATAAAAAAAAACTCAGGGAGAATTTGTATACTTTATGTCTAAGTTCACACAAAAAAAACAGTAATAAAAGGATGTAAGGATTTAGGTATGTGAGCAATCGTCACTGTGATGTCCTAGACAGTACATCCTCCAGGACAGCAGCTTTGTCTTTTTGTGTGTTTTAACACATTTTAAAGTCCTTCTAATTAAGTGAAAGTCCTGTATTTACTGAATTTTCAGTCATTCTCCTTCTCTGACAGAGAAATAAAGCTATGTAGTTCATAATGCGTTTGCTCTTTTAAAGATAAAACTCTAGTGTCTTGGGCTAAATTCGTGGGGATTTAGAAATGAGGCCTACA